AAGGACTGGAAGAGAATTGCTGAAGAGTTACTAAAGAAGCTGAAGTTAAACAGTACTATTATTTTAACCCCCTTTGAAAAGTGTAAGGCCCTTCTAGAGTTAGTAGAAGAGAAAATGGAACTCCAGGCTATGCATTGTCAATTGGAGTCAGCCTCTGTGACTGTTTCAAAATGGACTCCTCAATCTAAGGATTTGCACTCAAGGGACAAAGTAATTGTTTGAATCTTGGGGCTATTGTTTCACCTATGGATTTCAGATGTTTTTGTCTCAATAGCAACTTTGTGCAAAGCAAGGTTAGAGGGCTTTTTGGTTAAAAACCTCCATTCAGCTGCAGTATGTTTGAGTAATGTAAACTTGGAAGATATCCCACGTTCAGTAAAGGTACTGGTTGATGGAACCTTTTATTCAGTCTGGCTAGTTACAGCCATTGAAGTTGAGCTATGGAGGGAGGGAAGAAGGGAAGAAGATGAGAAGGTACAAGAAGAATGGTTACACGGGAGAAGTCAATTGGATGCAGGAAAGGAGAAAGGAAATTACACTGAAATGGCAAAGCAAAATCTGGGGAGAGGAAAAGATGAACTAAAAAAGGAAGAAGTTTATAAGGCAAGGAAAGAAAGGGATGAGACACACGGCTGGTCTTATGCTGAGGCTCTGACTAATGGACCTCGACGTGTGAATCAATCCCAAATTCAAATTTCAAAAGAAGGGGTGGGTTAGCCAGCTGCTGTATCAAACTTGAACATAACTGAGCTATTAGGGTCAAAGATTAATAAAACATCATGTGGCACTTCAAGTAATCACGTGATGGGTAATAAGAAAAATGGGCCTGGGCTTTTGACATAGGGCCTGGGTACCTTGAAACATACTTTGGGCCCAGCTGTTGGGCCTCAAAGGGCAGCGACACATGACATACTTAAAGGGCACGTGAGCGGTGAATCCTAAGGACAGCCCATTGATGGACGATGATTTTGGTTCATCTTCTTCCTCTTTGATCAAGTTAGTGACAAAAGGAAACTGAAAGTATCAGAGGTAGTGTTCGTTGATGATTTGGGTACAGAGTAAAGGGAAAAATCTTCTGGTTTCTCCTGAAAAGCGAAAACCAAAATTTAATAGATGCGATGGTAAAGGTAAGGAGAAGGTGCAGGACCTAGGACCTGATGGTTTCACGATGGCTTTTTATCAAGACTTCTAGGAGATAATTAAGGTTGACATTCAAAGTGTGTTCTCAGAATTCTTTGAAAGAGGGGTGATAAATCCAGGTCTAAACTTTACTTTTATTGCCTTAATCCCCAAAAGGGAGGGAGCTTTCCACCCTAAAGAGTTCAGACCCATCAGTTTGGTCAATAGCCTTTATAAGATCATTGCTAAGGTTCTTTCTCGAATAATTAGAGAGGTGCTTCCAACAATCATTTCCCCTAATCAAGGTGCCTTTGTGAAGAATAGACAAATTGTGGATCAAATCTTGATAGCAAACCAGAGTGTGGAAGATCTAAAAAGAAGTGGGAAGAAAGGGTTGGTGTGCAAATTGGATCTAGAAAAGGCTTATGACTTGGTTGATTGTTCTCTGCTGTTGGAAATTCTAGGGTCTTTTGGTTTTTGGCAGAGGTGGTGTAAGTGGATAAAAGGGTGCATCATAACATGCCACTATTCCATTCTGGTGAATGGTAGGACGGTAGATCATTTTCTAGCTACTAGAGGCATTAGGCAAGGGGACCCCCTCTCCCCCTTCCTCTTTACCCTGATTGCCGAAGTTATAGGGAGGATTATTGAGAGGGCAGATTCTAGGGGTTTGGTAAGTGGTTGGAGAATTGGGAGGGATGGGGTTTTGGTCACTCATTTACAGTTTGTGGATGACACAATTCTATTTTGTGGAGGGGATGAGATTAGGTGGGTTAGTAACTTAAAACAGGTGATTAATGTGTTTGAACAAGTGACTAACCTCAAAGTCAACTTTGATAAGAGTTGTGTGATGGCATTAGTATGAGTGCTAGAGAGGTGGAAGAAAGGGCTCAAATATTGGGATGCGAGATTGCTCAGTGGCCAGTGAAATATTTGGGGCTTCCTCTAGGGGATAATCCTAGCAAAAGAAGCTTTTGGAATCCGGTGATTGAGAGATTCACAAAAAGGTTAACCTCATGGAAGAAAAACTACCTCTCTTTGGGTGGTAGGATAACTTTGATTAAATCAACCTTGGCAAACCTCCCTGTTTACTTTTTGCCTGTGTTTAAAATTCCTGAGGGAGTGTGTAGGGTGCTGGAGAAACTTATGAGAGATTTCCTATGGGAACCAGGGGAGGAGAAAAGGGATCATAGAGTTAGGTGGGATTTGGTTACCAAAGCTAAAAGTGATGGTGGCCTTTGTTTGGGTAATTTGCAGAAGAAGAATGAAGCTCTATTGGGGAAATGGTTATGGAGACTATTCATAAAAAAATGGTTATGGAGACTGACAAAGGAAAGGGATAATCTGTGGGCTCAAGTATTCCTAAGTATTCATGGGCAAGAGACAGATGGCTGGGATACGGGTGTTTCATCTAGGGCCACAAGAGCTTTTCCCTGGAAGTCTATTCATGCTATCCTGCCTTCCTTCATCCCTTTTATCAGGTACGACCTTTGCTTTGGTAATCTGTGAAGTTTTGGGAACATATTTGGGTGGGTGACACTCTATTGAAAGAGCAGTTCCCTTCTTTGTTTTCTCTCTCAAGGTTTAAAAATGAGCCTATAGCCACCTTCCTAACTTTTTCTAATTCTGCTCCTGATTGGAATCTGGGCTTTAGAAGGGCTCTTAGAGACTCTGTATTGGACTCCATTTCTAATTTGCTTAAGATTCTGGATGAGGTAGTTATTGACCCCTCTAGATTGAACAGTAGGATCTGGGCTCCTAATCCCTCGGGTATCTTTTCTTGCTCTTCTTTTTTCAAAGAATTAACCCATTCCCACTTGGCCCTTGATTTTCCCTTCCCAGTATTGGAGCTTTGGGGTAGACCAATTTCTCCCAGAGTAGGTGCTTTCTGTTGGGAAGCTATCCTAGGAAAGTGTTACACTTGTGACATGCTTCAAAAGAAAAGGCCTAATTGGTGTTTATCCCCACACTGGTACATCTTATGCAAGAAGAATAGTGAGCGCTGTTATCACTTATTAGTTTCCTGTCCTTTTGTATCAGAAATCTAGTGTTGGTTTTCTCTCTTTTTGGTTGCAGGTGGCCCACCCCCCCAAGTGTGCACAGCTTGTTTAACTCTACTTCAGTGAGGGGTTTAAAAAAGAGAGGTAAAGTTTTGTGGAGATGTGTGAGAGCAGCTGTATGCTGGACAGTGTGAGAGGAATGAAACCAACGAACTTTCCATGAAAAAGAAAAAAACAAGGAAGCCATTATTGATTTAATCTATGTTAGGGTGGTTCATTGGGTCAAGACTATGAAGCTCTTTGAAGGTTATTCAGTAGGAGATATCATTAGAAAATGGAAAGAAGTAGTTTGGTCTGCTCGCTTGATTACTTCCCCTGTTCCAGCTTGGACTCGTCCAACTCTGGGGTTCACTAAATTGAATTTTGATGTTAGCAGTGAAGGAAACTCAGGCCCTTTAGGTTTAGGTGGAGTGTTCAGGGATGAAGAAGGTCGAATTATTGCCATGTTCTCAGGCCCTATAGGTTGGGGAGATTCTCTGAGAGCTGAAATTTTAGCAGTTTTGGAAGGGATAAAAAGAGCTCAACAGCTGAATATTAGAAAACTGCTGGTGGAGGGCGACTCTAGGTTGGCTATTAACTGGATACAGAAGGAAAATTTCAGTTTGTGGAAGTTCTTGAATGAAAAAAAGAAGATTAACCAGCTCATTCAAAACATGCAAATTCAGTTTCAGTGGTCCAAGAGGAGTGCTAATTCTTTGGCAGACTCTTTGGCCAAACAAGGCGTGGGAAGAGCTAGTTTCTTTTGGGCAATGTTGTAATTTGATGTCTACTTTTAGGGAGGGTTAAGAGATTTTACCCCTCCCTCCTGTTGTATTTTTCTACCATTTCTTTTTCTTAATAAAAGTTTCTGTTATTGATAAAAAAAGAGATACACACATGGCCCTTGCAGAAAGGGTGCTATGTTATTTTAAGGGAACTCCCGAGAAGGGCATACTCTTTGCCAAGCATGGTCATATGAAGTTAGAGACCTATATAGGTGCTGACTGGGCAAGTAATATAAATGATAGGAGATCAACATTAGGTTGTTGTGCTATGGTAGTTGGAAATATTGTTTCCTGGAGGAGTAAGAGTAGTCAGTGGTAGCTAGGTCTTCGGTTGGAGTAGAGTATAGGGCTATGGTCCATGGGGTTTCAGAGTTGTTATTGGCTCAGATATCTCCTAAATGATATGGGTATTGATTATGATAAACCCCTGGTGTTGTATTGTGATAATTAGGCTACCATTAGGCATTAGTATTGCTCATAACCCCGTTCAGCATGATAGAACTAAGCACATTGTAGTGACAGACACTTCATATGAGAGAGAGTGGCCTCAGGGGAAGTGTGTCTTCCTTTCATTGCTTTAGAAGAATAGTTACCAGATATTTTGACCAAGGGATTTCCTAAGGTTAAGCTACAACACTATGTAAGCAAGCTAGTCATGCTTGACATCTATGCTTAGCTTGAGGGGGAGGGTAGACACTAGAGAGATAGGACCGAATGGGCCTTGGTTTTATTTATTTATTAGTAGCTTTCTTCTGTAGTGGGCTTTCTTTATGGGGCTCAATACTTGTTCTCTTTTATGTTCTTTTGAGTCAGCCACCCAACTAAGGGCACTCATGTAACTTTCCATCTTTTATAATTCAGTCAGCACATATTTAATCCAATTGAGGGACACAGAGATTCGATCAGCTCGCTTACTCTTCCCTTTTCTTCCATTCTCTCTTCCTTCTTCTAAATCTCTATCAGAACTTCTCTTTCTTTCATTTTTCATTTTTCTTTATTCTATTTTTCAGATTTATTTCGGCTGTGATTTGCAACTGACTTTAAATTATTTCTCTAGGGATTCTGACAGGATGATTTTTGAGCGTCTACAGAAAGAATTTGAAGCTGCTCGTGCTGCTCAAACTGAAGGTAACTAACTTTTCTTTTACTCATTTCTTTGAACAAACTGTTTGTTACAGTTAGATTGCTTGGTGCTTCTAAGTGATTGGGCTGGACTTTGTTTTTATGCTGCATTTAGTCGTGTTGGTAAAGTTGGTTCTATCAATGTCACTCGGTTGCTAGAGATATGATGGTTACTTTTTTTTTGAAAGTTTTTGATTTCTTGCCTCAAATTTTCTGATGATAAGTTCTTTGAGTTTATGAGACATTAGCCTGGACAAAGAGAGTGATAAATTCTTTAAGTTTTTTGAGTATCTAAAAATGTTAAGAGGTTAGTTTAAGTAAAATAAATTCTGGTTATTGTTTGAGGTGCTATCCTAAAACGTTTGTAACACCAATTTTGGGATAAACCTTTTCTAGAGGTAGTGACTGACTGGATAGGGCCATGAACAGTTTATTTATTTGATACCCTGGTTGATGCTACCTTCTCTTTCCCCCTTTTGTCCAGGTTTCTCTCATATGGTTTTTGGGCATATTGTTTGAACATATTTTTGTTGTGTATCTATTGTGACTACACAGATCTATTAATGACTCATTTCTCAATATCTATGACTAGTTAGCTGGCCATATATGAATATATGATTCTGAACATGGGAGGTTAAGACTTGGAGATTATTCCTACGTTGACAAGAAAATTTATGTAGAATTCTATGTCTAGAATGTAACACTAGCCACCCTTTCTCATCATGGTTACATAGAAAAAACATTCATGTTATTAATAAAGGAGATGAAACATAATGTTTCAATGGAGGGCATATCCTTCATAAAGTTAGGTTGAGTTTGACCATATTCCTATGCTGACATAAAAATTTGAGGAATTCTATGTCTGGGATATGACACTACCGCCCCTTTCCTGTTGTTGTAGCTGCATAGAAAAAATTATTCATGTGATAAACAAAGGGAATGAAATGTAATGTTTCAGTTGAGAGCATTATCATTCATAAAATTCAGTGCTAGAATGCAACAAAAAATTAGTCAATATAATAGAGTTATCTAGTTGAAGGGATGAGGATGCTTTGATGACAGTTTCACTACAACTCAGCAGCTATAGAAGGTTTAAAATGTCAGTGTTGGTGGAAATATTGGTCATCCAAATATAATGTTGGAAATGTCGTCAATATTATAAACATTATAGACATGGTGGAAACATTGTAAAATATGTTATTATAGGATGATTTTTTATTAAATGATAAGAGAAGCAAGGCACATTTTTTAAACTAGTAAGCATGCATGCGTTTTTCACGTGGCACTTCTAGATAATGATAATCATGGTAGTAATGTATCTAAGAATTTCTATAAATATGTATTTTTATTTTCTTTTTATATTTTTTATTATTAATCGGATGCAGGTTGCAAAATCCAAATCTGATTACATAAATACCTCATCCAAATATCTGATAATCGGATCAAGTTGTGAAGTTTCAAGTATCATTGACAGGCCTACTTGCTTGGCTAGATTCTTCTTTTTGAATGTTTTATTTTTTTGGTGTATTCTTTTTTGTTCATTTATTAAATAAATATAAGATTTAAATAGAGGGAATTGAATGAGGTGAAAAGTAGTAGTTCAATTTACAATTTCAACCTCACAATTAAATAGGGACTAAATTTAAAAATGAGTATTTTAGTAAAAAGAAAGTTCTACAATCTTATTAATATTTTTTAATAGTAGTTTAAATATAGAATTATAGATATGTTCAGTTTTTTTTTTTTCTATATGTTTTGTATTTCTATGTGTAAAAATAATTTTGATATGTTACACTTATATTTTGTATAGTATGATAATTGTATGTGCTTGATTGTTTTTTTTTTGCAAAATTTATGTATTTTTTTCATTTTATATTTTACTAATTTTCATTATTTATTTATCACATTAAATGTTAATACATTTGACCCCAAAGTTGAAGTGTTGACCTTTTCCAAACAGTAAATTAATTTCATTTTGGTCAGTTCTAAATTATGTATTTAATTTTCATTATCAATAAAAATAATTCTTGTTTATTACACCTATTTTTTTTTTTTTTTTTAACTTGATTAACAAAAATATCATAAATGTGCCTAATGTTTTCTACATTTTTGTAATTTTCTATATTTATTTCTATTTTTAAAATTTTTGTTACCTAATAGGTTGATCAATTTGATTCGGATGATTAAATTGCTTAGCCATGAGTTGGATAAAAAATGGTTTTGTTTTTGAGTTAGTTATAAAATATATAGGTTTATATTGTTTAAAATATTGACATAGATCTAATTAGTAGCATTTATTAGTAAAAATAACTTTATATAGGTTTTAGTAAGAAAAAATGGGAGTTAATTCCATAAGTATAAGACTTAATGAGAGGGGATTAAATGAGGTGGAAAGTAATATTTGAAGTTATATTTTCAACTTTACAATTAGAGTTGGACTAAATAGACAAATACGAGCATTTTAGTAGCCATTAGAGCTGACATTAAAGCTGTAATAAAATGACTTTTGTACCCTTTCTCAAACAAAGAAATAGAGGGTAATTTTAGTCCAAAAAAACTTCCACTCTACATCCACACTTTTATATATAGTATAGATTATTATTTTGTTTCAAATCATTAAATAAAGCTATGAAATTAAGGTTATAGACAAAATAAAACATTGTGAATTTGTCTTGTGAACCTTGAGATTCAAAACAACATGGCAGAATGGGTTCAAATACTATTTTGTAAACCTTAGGAAGACGATAATATTGCTACTCCACATATCTACAATATTGTCACCGATTCATGTCATAATACAATCTTGTGTACTCATGGTGCTGGTAGTGTTCACTGGGAATATGCTGGTTCTAGTAAAGTTTCATGTTACTACCCATGGAAATGGAAACATGCCCTTGAAGTATTAGGAAATTTTTTGGACATCTAAACCATGATTAACAAGATAGACAAGCAAGTTTCATTGTTTTGTCAAATGAATTCCTTTGAATTTTATATTGTTGATCTTGGAATGCTTTTGGTGCATATGGTGCCTTTTTTACTTTTTAATAGACATTCATGATTGTGGGAAGGTTAATTTTCTCAAATGCTTTATCTATTTTGTTCATTTATACTTTCTAATTTTTATGCAGCTCTTTCCTATTTGCATCATTCAACTTTATTATTACATTCCTAATTAAAGATTAGCTTGTTTTGCAGAAATATGTTTGGATGGTGAACAATGGAATGATGGGCTGTTAGCTACAATTAGGGAGCGTGTATTGTTCTTTCCATTTTAAGTGATTAGTTTTCCTTTTACTGTTGTTTCTTTAGGCCAAACATTGATGTAGGGCTGCATATGGTATCCATTTGTCCAAATTCATATTTGAAGCTGATCAGGTTAAGGGTAATCCAAATTCAATATGTTTGTAATTGGATTGAATTGAATGCACCATTATCTGATCTGATCTGATAATATTTGGAAATGTATGCCCATGTATCTGCTATCTACATTAAATTTATATTGTATATCTTAGTAGAATTGTTTTAATTTTGTATGCTTACTAAATAGTCATAAGCTAACCTGTCGTAGAAGTTATTTTCAATTCATTTATATTGTATATCTTAGTAGAATTGTTTTAATTCTGAATCTGATGAATAAGGATGAATTTTTATCCAAATAATTTTTTTGACAAGTGATGGGGTAAAAATATTTGTTCCAACTCCAAGCTGCACATGGAGTATACAGACAAAAAGGTGTACAACACTGGGTCTCCCAAGAGAGGCCACTCACAAATGACAACAGAACAAAAACAAAAGACAAAAAAGCAAATGGCAACATTACAATATAGCAGCTGGTCCTGGGCAAACAATATTTCCCAACCCCAGCCTTAGCTAGAGAATCAGCGAACATGTTGGCACTCCTAGGCACCCATTTGAAAGAGTCATTCAAATCAGCACCTAGAGCTTGAGCCATTCTGACTAAAGGTCTGAAATTCCAAGGAATTTGGTCTTGCTTGGTCATCCAGCAGAAAACACTTGACAATCATCCTCAACTTCCACATTCCTTAAATCCTGCCTAACCAACAACTTCAAACCCTGAACCAAGGCCAAAAGTTCAGCTCTTGAAGAATTCCCTTGTCCCACTGGACCTGAAAAGCTTAGAATGATACTGCCCCCATGGTCTCTAACAACTCCCCCACCCCTGAGGGCCCCGGGTTTCCAAGGTTGCAACCGTCAAAGTTGAATTTGAGCACTTCTAACTCAGTAGGGGACCAATCAACCATCCTTTGTTGTCATCTCTGCTGAAATTCTGTCATCACCTGCCACTCCCTAAGCGGGTCATTGATAGAAACACCTTGAAAAGCCCCACAAATCACAGTCCAATGAGCTACCCTTACTTTTGTAAGTTCAGACGCTTCCTCCACAGGTTTGCACTTTTCTTAAAAAATCCTTGCATTTCTTTCACACCATAAGCTCCATAGCACCACCTCGCGAATACATTGTCAAGCAATCTTTTGTCTTTGTGTAGAGCCTTCAAAGACATAAGATTTGAATAGATCTATTACTGCACCTGGTGCCACCCAAGTTTTTCCAAACAGTGAGAGGAAAAGCTGCCACAAACTAGAACCATAGGGACAATGTAACAGAAGATGGTTAGTATTTTCCCCACTCTTCAAGCAAAGAACACACACATGAGGAGAGAGAGCCCAATGTTTCCATTTCCTTTGGAGCCTTTCATGGGTGTTGATGATTTGGTTAACAGCCTCCCAACAAGAAGCCTTTATACAAATATTAATGAATAAAACTTGGGTCTAGGTGCATCTGATTCAATCCGATCCATTTTCAGCCCTACTTTAGTAACTATTCTCTTTTGGATCCATATTGTATGTTGACTGCACTAAATTATGCTAATTAACCTTGAATTTCATATATCAGGTTCACATGGAAGCAGATAGAAAATCAATGCCAGGGGATACAAGCATGTTACCAGATCCTCATTTCCATGGGAAGACTACTTACAGAGTTGGAAATAAGGTACTAATTTCTCTGATGCAGTATATTTTGAGTGGGTGGACTACTGGCACATGTGAAAAACTCTTCGATGTCTCTAAGAAAATTTTCTACTCCTTATTGTTCCCTAAAACTGGTATCCATTTAATAAACTAGGAATATTTGCAGATAATACATTTTTTGTTGGTTCAGGACTATTGAACAACCTACTGCAGTGCTTTCCTTGGTATATACTGAATAACCCATAGGTTCCTCTGCCTGGCAATAGGGATCAGAATCAGGAAGTTCTGTACCTCATATATAAGTGGTTGCCTATGTAGGTCAGTTTGAGAGCTTTCCTACAGGACATACCATACTATGTGAAGGAACACTTTTCGCCAGTCCAGATTCCAGACTGCTGATCTGATAAATTGTTCATGTGTCAAATCCTAGAGCCCAAATCTGCTCTATTCCAACCTTGGATTGCAGTTTTGTTGATTTAGCAATAACCCTCTAATTTTTCAATTTCTTATTTTAAAAGTTATCTATAGAGGAAGCTTGTATCTAGAGAAAGCATATGATAGGGTTCCTAGAGAGATAATTTGGTAGGTCCTAGAAAGAAAGAGGTTCAAAACAGGTATATAGACCTAATTAAAGATATGCATGAGGATGCAACAACCATGTCGGAACACCTGTAGGGGAACATCAGATTTTATAGTTACGATGGGTTTTGACAAAGGTTCAGCGCTGAGCCATAATTTATTTGCACTGATCATAGATGAATTGACTAAATGTATTCAGGAGGAGGTTCCATGATGCATCTTGTTTACTTATGACATTGTTTTATTTGATTAAACTAATGAAGGATTAAATGCAAAATTAAGCTTATGGACAAATACTTTAGAAACGAGAGGCTTTAAAATAAGTAGTACTAAAACAGAATATATGATATTTAAGTTTAATAATAATAGAAGTGAAAATCAGGGTACACTTGGGATTGGAGACCGAGAGATAATTCAGTGTGACCTTTTCTGGTACCTTGGTTTGATAGTTCATAACTAGGGGGAGAATGAGAGATTGAGGAGGATGTTGCCCATAGAACTAGAGTTGGATGGGCAAAATGGAGGGGTACATCTGGAATTTAATGTGATAGGTGAATACCACTTATAGATGGTGCCAAGTACACAAATGCCAAGCAATTGGATGGAGCAAGAAGGTTTTAAGAGTGCAATCGGATGGAGAAGAATGCTGAAAATTGAAACCAAGACATTTGTAATTGGGGAAATGATGGTAAGAGGACTTCCAACTTTGAAGATAAGGGAGTTGAGGATGGCAACAGTTCTGCTGATAGGGGAAGCAATCAAGTGGTTTAATGGTTTTATAGATGGGGCAATTTTTTTCCAAAAGAAACCTGGACTGGAAGGAAATGCTGGAAGCAAGGGGAAGGAGGTGCTGCACTGAATGAAGAAATGGGAAAGATTGGCACCCAACTTTCATTGAGTTTTTTGGATAGGGTTCAAATGGGTTATTTGCCCCAGAAGAAAAGAAAGCACAAGGATGGTTTTAAGTGTTAAGGTTGGTTCAAAAATACCTGGTCATTGCAGCTGGAGGACTTAGAATACTTAGTTAATACGAGATAGAGATTAGAAGAGGAGTTTTGCAGGGGAAAATTCCAGAGTAGAGATAAAAGAGAATGAGGGGGCAGAAGAAGAACTTGATCAGTTTCAGATGGCTGGTTAAGTTGTTATGCAGAAACTTCAAAGCTGTCTATAATCCAGAGTAAAGGTGAATGGGAGCAATGTCTGGTGATATTGGCCAAGGAAGATGTGCAGAACTGGAGCAAAGTGGGTGAAGCTATATGGAGGAACCTAAAATTGGAAGTAACTCATGCTAATCCCTTTTGATAAAGGCAAAGCGTTGTTGGATCTACTTGGTGATTCGCTAGAGATCAATGCAGTTTTCGTGGAAACTGAAGAAGGGCAAATGTTGATATCAAGATGGGTGCCCTTTGTCAAACTTAAAGTCTTAATAACAGGGAAGGTGTAGTATAAGGATTTTATGGCTATCGTTCCATCTCTGGTCAAAGTCTACTATGAGAGTGATAGCTAACTTATGTGGAGGGGTCCTTGTGGGTCTAGTCCTGGGTGATTTGTATTCAACGACCACTAGAGTTCTAGGAGCAAGGTATGAAGGTTTACAGTGTCTTAATAAACGTGGTGCTGTAGGAATGGGGTGTTCAATTTACAGGTTTGATAAATCATGTGGGCTGGGTCCAGGATTGCAAAAGAGGGGCTTGGGCTGAACCATGTTTGAAGATTGCATGAGTCATTAAATTATATTGGGTGAATATGTGAGCAAATGCTGTTTTGATAGATAGCACACGAGCAGATGTTACATGTGATAGAGGTCTTAGGTTCACCTACTTTGCCAAAGTTTGGACTAAAAAGTTGTGGGCCTTTAGCAACTCTTGTTAGTGGATTGGTTTGAACTGATGTACTTGAACCAGTTAGGTGTGAACTGACAGATGTGATTTTAAGTAATCATGTGAGGGGGCAGGGAGGTGGGCCTAACTTAAAACAAATTGAGTTTGGTTGGGTTGGACTTTCAGATGCAGGTCCAAGAGTTATTCTTCTTAATATAAAAGTTTTTTATTAAAAATAAAGAAAAAATGAGATCCCCCCTTCCTCTTCATCCTCCTCCCCTTCCTCCTCCTACCCCTCCTCTTAAGGAGGCTTACGCCTCCTTGTGTTCGGGAGGCTTACGCCTCTTCCGTTCTAAACTATGCCTCATGCCTCTAGGTAGTGGAACGCCTCGCGTCACGCCTCCGCGTTTTAAAACATTGGTTCAAAGATTGTGTAATGCTACTAATAGATAACGAATTAATAGGCAACTTTGGAACATGTAAAACATTTGACAGAGGTAGGCCAAATGGCAAAGATATAGATATGGATCCTCGACCAACAAAGGAGGAGAATGATCCATTAGCTAACCTCACTTTATCTCTGCTAGAAAGAAGGGTGTATGATTGGAAAAAGGTTGACTTACCAGTCATGTGATTGGAAGCACCCGAATCAATAATCCATAGAGATTAGGAGGTATCTGTAGACACATGCAATGCATAAGCTAAGTTACCTGAGGAAGAAGTAAAAGAGGTGGAAGGAGTGGGTCCAAAATCTGCTTGTGTGAGAGCACTATCATATTGCTCCAACTGGTCACAAAAGGCATTGATAATATTTTCCTTGAGATCAGAACTAGGGGGGCAATCCTAGGGATTCGCAGTATTACATCCACTCTGTGGTTCATGAGAGGCCAAGTTAGCCGAGGTGAACTTCTTCAGAGTTAGTTTCTTATTCTGCTCTTGTGCTGATCTCTTGCTTAGGTCTTGTGCCCACTTCGACTTTCCATGCAATTCCCAACATGTCTCCCGTGTGTGTCGGGATTTCTGACAATGAATGCACCACAGCTTATCTTTATCATCAACCCTCTTCTGACCATCTCCCTTTCTTCCTGAATTAGTATTACCTTTTATGGCTAAAGCAATGGTCTCCCCCTTAGGAGGATCCATGGAAGATTTTCTACTTTCCTCAGATTGGACCAATGCATGCACCTCTTGGACAGATGGAAGATCCTTGCTGCCCAAAATCTGAACTCGAATGGGCTCATACATGGGATTAAGCCCTGGGAAAAACACAAGCACCCGCTGCTGTGAAACTAACTGTTTGTAAGCTTTGGCATCCTTCTCTCTCCTAGTTAATGTTTTGATAGCAATCTAACTCTTTCCAGATAGATGTGAGGGCAGAATAGTAGGTGAATAGGCTTCTTTCCCCTTGTTTACATGTTGCGGACTCGGCTTGCAGTTGATAAATTCTAGCATAGTGTCTCTGCTCGGAGTAAATTGACTTTGCTTGTTCTCATATTTCTGTAGCTGTCTCAGCCCACATAAAATTCTGCTTAGCCGGTGGTAGCATAGTAGTCAGAAGCCATGACATAATCATGCAGTTCTCCTGGTCCCACTTATCATTGTTCAGCAGTACCATCCTTAGGCTCCTTTACTTTCCCATTCATGTACCCTGCCTTTCCTCGGGCAGTGATGTACAGTTGCATCTCCTTAGACCATGTCAAATAATTTCTGCCATCTAAGGGGCTGATAGTTGTTGGAAAACTCATGGAGTCCTGATTACTATTCATTCCTCCTTGATTGAAGGAGGTTCCAGAAGTTGCAGAGTCCTCAGAGGCCATAGCAAAGAGTGGTTATCAGAAGGTTCAGACCTACAAACCTCCTCCTGTAGTCCACACACCAAAAAACACGGCCCTCACTTCAAGTGTTAAAAAATATTGTAAAACAGCACACTGTGTTTGCTGTCACAGGTTCACAAGTCTAACCGACCTCAGACGAGCTAGTTTAGGCCACATATGGCATCTACAGCACCTGCCATCACAGATTCACAGGTCTAACTGACCTCACAAAGGCTAGTTTGAGTCACATATAACATCTATAGATCTCCTGTTGTATCTTTTTATCTGAACCAGGTCATACATGACCTACACAGGTTCTTCACCCACACAGATTTGGATCACCGACCCACAGGGACCAATTTAACTACATTCGGCTGAGGCAAACTTTAGTATGTTCTTGGTAACAGTACCAAGAACCAATAAAAAAGACTTCAGTCTATATTTCTGATCAGTTAGACTGACTTCTGGAAGTTAAAGTCCAGAGAAGAATGGAAGAGATGAAGAAAGGGCAACCACCGACCTCTAAGAAGACCTCAGACAATCATCAGTTGCTGTATGGAAGTGTTTGTTCAAGAATTAATGGAACGGGATCAGCTGAACAGTTCTCACGGCAAGGTCGAAGGTATCTTCCTCATTCTCAATCCAGACATGCGATGGGAGAGCTTTGATCAGTCAAGGAAACTTTTACAAAGCCCTGTCCTGCTCTGATACCATGATATCGATCAGAAACAGAACATAGAAGAGTGGAGAAGGAGAAGGGAGAAGAGAAGAAGAAAGAAGAGAGAATTGAAAGTCCAAAAAAATCTGGGCTGGTGGTGCCAGTCCTATTTATATGTTAGGGCAACCATTATGATAAGAAAGAAGTAAAAGAGAATAGTGCCCTTGTGGCACATAACCAAGATTACATCAATATTCTTAAATTTTTTGAGATTATAATAGTAAAACATACACTATTAAACTAAAATATTCAGTCTGTGTTTAAATACTAGTCCTTTAATATTATTATCTTATTTGGTAGGGTACAATCAACATGTATGCTGTTTTGAACCTGAAGAGACTTCAAAACCTAAACTGTTATGAAAGAAAGAACTCAAAGTTTTTTTCATCCTTTTTTTCCTTCTTTTCCTGGGACAAAAATAGGGGCTCCGCCCCTCTATTTTTCTGAAATTTCCTTTCTTCCATTTTTTTGTGAATATGTTGATTTTCTATGTTTTATATGATGTTTATACATCTTTTATGAGAGTTGGCAATTACTAGTGAAAGGTGGTTGCTACTTTTTTTTGGAACATGGTAATTACCCTAGGATTCATAGTTTTTATTCAAAAAGATTCATTGCCTAGGTGACGCCCAAGTGCCTGTCTAGGTGACTAGAGTGACAAGGAGCCTCCCTGTTGCCTAGCCTTGCCTTGGCTCCTTGAAAATTATGTCCCTGGGTTTTGCAAAAAACACATTGAATCTAGGGGATTTTATTATTCAGTCCACGTCATAAATTTTCATGAGTTTGTACAGTTGGGTGCGGGTGGGGGAATCCATCACAATTCAAG